TGGCCCCCAGGGAGCCACAGCCCCCCCGCCCACCGCTGACTTGTCCCTGTCTCGTGCTAGCGGCTTAAGCTGTGACTTTCCTTTCCCGCCCCCGAGCCTCAGGTGACAGAGTCCAGAGAAGCCAAGTGAGTGGCCCAAGGCTCCACAGCAGACCAAAGGCAGATTTGAGGCTGGAACCCGGGTCCCCTGGCAGCCAGTCAGCACGTGCCCATGCCAGACCGCAGCCTCCCTAGTTGGTCACCTGTAGAGCACCCGCTCCACACCAGGCCCTGTCCTCAGCGCTCACACGAACGGCTTTAATGAATCCCCACCACAGCCTTCGTGGCAGGGAGGACAATTGCCACCCTGAAGTTGGGGAAACAAAGGCACAGGGAGGTTCGGAGACTTGCCCAGAGACACTCAGTGGGCAAGTGTCAGAGCCCAGATACACCCCCAGGTTGCCGGGGCCAGGAGTCACGCTGCTGAGCGCAGAGGGCGTGTGGTGGACCCTGAAGTCCAGCTGAGCTCCAGTCCCAGGCTGACCCCTCTCTGCTTGGCCCTGCTCAAGGGGCTTCCCCATGCCGAGTCTCCTGTCCTCTGCAGAAGGGGCAGAGCTCCCCCCGCAGAAGGCTCAGAGGCTTGGTGGCACCACAGATGTGAAGCGGCGGTGTGCAGCCCCCTGGGGAGTTCGGGAGGGTCAGCCTTGAGGGTCCTTCACCACGTCTGCAAAGACCCTTTCCCAAGTAAGACCACGTTCTCAGTCTCTGAGGGTTAGGATGCTGTGGACACAACTTTGGGGGGCCACCATCCACCCTACTGGCCTGGAGACACATGGCTTGTGCTCAGTCAAGACGTCTTGGAACGAGGGCTGATTTTTTCTCTCCTCGGTGTGCTCTCTGCGTGACCTGCCCTCTCTCCTGAATGCCTGCCTGTGCCCGACAAACTTTTCTTGCAGGGAAAATGATTCTTAGCTGCCAACGTGTGATTGGAAGTTACACAAAAGCCCATCAGGCAGTTGGAGCAGAATTAGATGGAAAATGTAGAACATGAATAATTCAAGCCGCTCTGCCAGGGGAGGGGCAGTCTTAAATGAGTCTAATTGTGCTCCTTCCCCAGGGAGGCCAGTCCTGAAGCGCACCTCGCAGAGCGGGTTTCAAGTGGGATTTAGGGCTGATCACGAAAGGGCAGGGTACTGGGGTTAATCCCTGAAATGAAAGCGCTGTCCAGGAGTGTGCCAGTCCCTCATTTTGCAAATGGGGAAACAGGCTTGCAGAATAGAAATGATGGTTGTATGTAGCACCGCGCTTGCTAGAGAGAGACACCCAGCCTGGGACCCCAGCATCTGACCCGGTGCCGGTCCCACCAACATTAAAGCCACCAAGTGTGGTCACTGGGCCAGATGTCTCAAAGGCCACATGCACGTGGCCGCACAGGTGTGAGTCCCCGAGGCCTGTTTGCGGTATCTGATTTGGGATGTAATTATCATGGAGGCTTCTTCCATGGCTATGTCCCTTGTCAGGACTCTGTCCTGAGGCTCGTGTGTCACGATGGATTGAAGGACATTCAACAGGGACAGCCGTGCTCAGGAATTAATTCCTTTAGCACTGCCGACGGCGGCAGCAAAGAGCAGGACCGCAGGGTGGTCCTGCAGCCATCTGAGCTGAGGTCCTGGAGAGACTGTCCCAGGGACCAGGTGACGCTGGACCCGGTCAGATGCCCATGTTCTGGAGTATGCTGGGCTGCCCTGAGGTGCTGGGCCTGGTCTAGACCCCGGGACTCAGAGGCGCAGGACTGCCTGCTGGGCTTCAGGGAGCTCCCGCCTGGTGGGGGTCCTGCCGCATTGGCGGTAACCTTGCTCTTGTCTTCCTTTGCCAGGGTGAGGGGGATCCAGAGCCTCTGTGTTTTACATTACTGTTTTCACAGCCTGCACCGTATCCAGAGTCCTTTGTCTGAAACAGCAAGAGAAAGTTCCTGGAGGATGCTCCGGCTGTAAGACTATGGTGCTGAGCTGCTGGGGAGACTGCATGTCCCCCAAGTCATACTCCAGGCCCTCGATCCCTTTGCCTTTGGGGCAGTGTCCCCAGCCTGTGTATGGTACCCTCGACCATGTGCCCCTGCCCCTCAGCCACTCTGGGCTGCTGTGACTCAGGTGTGTTTGCCACAGGGCTACAGAAGGAATTTTATTTATAGAGATGGGTTTTTACTCCGTCTCTAGGCTGGAGTGCAGTGGTGTGATCATAGCTCATTGCCACCTTGACCTCGGCTCAAGCAATCCTCCCACCTCGGCCTCCTGAGTAGCTGGAGCTACAAGTGTGTGCACCGTGCCCAGCTAATCGTTTAAACAAATTTATATCTATGGGGTCTTTCTGTGTTGCCCAGGCTGGTCTTGAACTCCTAGCCTCAAGCAGTCCTCCAGTCTCAGCCTCTCAAGGCACTGGGATTACAGGCATGGGTCACCACACCCGGCATCTCTGTGTCTTTTTAAAAGTTCGAAAACATCCTAAGATGGACAAAGCATGGACACCGAGTGAGCCGGGATGGTCACGTTATGCTGTGGTAACACGTCGAAGGTGTCCGGGGCTTCAGAGAGCCCAGACGTGTCTCACACGCCAGCTGCGAGGTGTCCGTCCCCGTTGGCTTGGGGGCAGGTCTCAGTGCAGAGGGAGCAGTGTCACGGCAAGCCCCGTGCTGGTTCTCAAAGCTTCACCGGGAAGTGCCACTCGCCGGCGGAAGGAACAAGTCCTCTGGCCACCCTGAGTTCTGAAGGACCCACAGACAAGTCTGTCCTTGGGAGAGAACCCGGGATGTTCAGAGGACTGCCTCCAGGCCAGCGTCTCACTTGAGACCATCAAGTCCCGCCCCCGCCATGTCTCACGAGTTACAACCCCAGGGGGTGGCAGTGGAAACGAGAGCCCCCACCACTCACAGGGGACTCCCACGGGACCTCTGTTCCCGTGCACGTCCGTGGCCTCCAGACCTCGGCTGGCTTTTGTTTGCGTCTTGAGTTCTGGGGAGAGAACGGAGTTCCTGTCCACCGCGGCCCTTCGGTGCGGAGCCTTCCGCAGGTGCCGCCGCGTCGGCGTGTGGGACGTGCACCCATGATGCCACTTTCCTCCAGCGGCCGTTTCCGTGCAGTTCGGTGGGGGCTGAGTGCCGTCCAAGCAGGCCGAACGTTCTGGAAGGCCGCTCGCTGCACGCAGCCCAGGAAGGATGGGCTGCAGGTGCCCGTTACGGCGTTTGCGTCAAGGGGATCCGGCTCCTTTGCCCTCTTAACTTTTCGTGTGGGTTTTCATGATTTAATCGCTGCTTCTTTTCACGCCAGAAAACTGCAGTTTCCTGGGAAACCAACCAGGCACGGGTGGCTTAGCTGATTTTTTTCCTTCTCTTTCTATTTTTTTTTTAAATGTGATTTTCAGTTTCTGGTTAATGATGTGCTCCCGGAAAGCAAGGTTTGAGCGTCAGCACCGAGCCCTTCCTGGCTGTCTTCTGAGAACACAGAGGCAGCCATCTTTTCTGGTGCGTTACAAACTCTGGCATCTACAGAGGTCAGGAAATAGTGATTTCCTATGGAGACAGGAAGCAGCTGGGGCTGGAGGAGGGGGAGGGCGGGGAGTGGGCTGCCGGAAGATGCATCTCAGAGTTTGGATCAGTGTTTTCCAAATTAATAATAATAATGATGATGGCGACTGGTGTTTGTGGAGCTTTGCACCACGTCAGGCGCTGTGTAACGGGCTTTGCCTCTGATCACCTCAGCACAACGGTGAGGTTAGAACTGTTCCCCCGTTTCGTTATAGATGAGAAGCAGGCAGGCGGTGCTGCAGAACACGGTCAAGATCACACAGCCAGGAGCTGGCAGAGCTGGGATTCAAACCCCAGACCTCCTGACTCCAGGGCTCACATCCACACGAGGAGTCAGAGGGAACGGGTCCTGCAAACCCAGTGCAGGGCTGGGGGGACCGAGGTGTCACTGTCTTGGGGTTTCAGAAAGTGTCTCTGGGGCTTGGCGACTCACAGGGGGCCGCGCAGGCCTCGGGTGCACCGAGGGGCTGGATCTGGGGCCCGGCGGCGGGGAGGAAACGGGAAAAGAGCAGGTGTGGGAGCCTGGGAGGTTGCCAGGCAGAATCCAGCCTCGCCACCCACTGGGTCACCCTGGATAAGTTGTCTACCCTCTCTCTGCTCCAGTGGATCAGTCAGGGACATCTCCTTCGCGAACAGCAAGCATCTTGGCTCTAAGCAGAACATGGAAATGCGCTGACTCCCATGCTTAGCCTTCGGGGGCACTGGCTTCAGGCGAGCTTGATCCAGGATCCCAAAGGCATCGCTGGCCCGGTCTCTCCACTCTACCTTCCGTGCTGTCTGTCCACCCTCAGGCCCCACGGCTCCCCTTGTCCTGGCAGCAGTTGGGAGCCCCTTCCCTCTGTGCCACCCAGCCCCGCAGGGGAGACCAAGCGGCCTCCCAGCATCCCCAGGCTTCCAGATCCTGGGAACTGAAGTCCCAGACCAGAGCCGAGGGCGGGCGGATCCAGCAATGCAGAACCTTTGCCCAGAGGAAAACCTGATTACTGTGGACAGGGGAAGGGGAGTGAGTGCTGGGGTGACAGATCTGGAAGCTTTCGCAAAAAGCATCCGCAGGCCAGCATGTAGTAGCGGCACAACAAATACTCCTTCCCTTCTGCCTGGCGACTGGCGGAGGAGGGGGCCGCGCGGGTCGCTGCCGTGGGCGCCGGCAGCTCGTGGTCACTCGCTGGGGAGCGGGCTCAGGCCAGGAGGGAGGCGGTGATCCAGGGTTCGGGGGACCGAGGGCGGGTGTCTCGGAGGGCGGCTGGCAGACAGCTCCCCCTGCAAGTCTGCGTTCGGCGGAGACTCTCTCTCCAGCCCGGGGCGTTTGTCCGAGGGTCTTGGGGGCAGGAAGGGGCTCAGACACGGTTGGACGCGTCTGCCTGGGCGGGGCGTCAGGGCCCCAGGGAAAGCAGGGCAGCGAGGGCGCCCCGCACCGCCCCTTCCTTGACCGCGCTGCCCAGACATCGTGGACATCAAGCCAGCCAACATGGAGGACCTCACGGAGGTGATCACGGCGTCCGAGTTCCACCCGCACCACTGCAACCTCTTCGTTTACAGCAGCAGCAAGGGCTCGCTGCGGCTCTGCGACATGCGGGCCGCCGCCCTGTGCGACAGGCACTCCAAGCGTAAGTGCC